AGAGCATGAAACTGCCATGGTATAAACTCCAGATTTATGAAATGCATCTGGTTTCATCCTTAATACTGTAGGTATGGGAAGCTGAGGTATCACTATATTCACTTGTCTTGACTTTACTCTCCCTTTGACTACCAAATCTTCAAGTGCTTTACAGTGGAAAGCTGTATGTGGGGTTGAGAAATGTAGCCAGCATGGCAGAGGGTATCTTATGAGACCGTGAGAGCAATTAGAGAAGTTGGAAGAACAAAGACTTATTTTCTGTCCGAAGTGGTCAAGGGCTGGAGAACGTTCAGCAGTCCAAGGGCAGTGTCTGCACTGGCTTTACAATCCTCTGCTAGTTTCTGAAGGGAATCAAAGCTGAGTCTCTGTTGGTGTCTGAGCTATGGATCAGGTCTCAAAGTCTCTGTTAGTCTAAGCAAAATCTAGAAGCCTTTCTCCTGCCTCTATCAGCTGATGTCAATACAATGGTTAGTCATCTGTAAGTGTGAGGAAGAAGTGACTCATGGAGAAGAACTTTTAGGGAGTCTTGGTTTTGCCAATGCCATGATGCAAGAGCTTTCCAGAAAAAAAAGAATAACACGTTGTTTTGTATTTAGTTGGGTTTTCCTTTATCTGAAGGGACATCATTAACTTTCTTCTGTCATCTGAATGTCCAGGAGACAAGGTATCAGGTACAGCTCCTCAGTGCCTGGGATGCTGTTTAGACTGTTTTCAGAATACAGACATGTGATGATGCTGGGAAATTTAAATTTTAAATGAAAATGCATCTTGTAATTATCAAAATTTCATTCACAGAGAGAAATTATTGTTCTCTCAGTTGTCTGGGAACAGAGCTGACTTGATTGCTGGGAGTGAAAGTGGTCTGATAATTAGTCATCTACCAGAAGCTCTTTAATTTCCTCTTTTCTTAAATGGTGCATGTCTGTTTGCTGTGTAGATAAAATTGGATACAAGCCCCCTCCCTCTGGACCAAGGTGCCTGGCATATGGAATTTGCTGGTAGTAGAGTCAAAGTTTAGTCCTTAAGTTGTGAAGAGTGTTTCTCTATCTTGCCCCCTCCCAAGTTTCAAGAATTTTTGTATTTTGGAGGGGTTTAACTATAACATTTGTCTTTTCTAAGAAGATATATATGTAGGTGCCCATATGCTTTTTCTGTCTGCTCTGCAAGCTCTCTCTAAAAGTCTTCTCAAACTTCTTCAGTCTAGTTAATCAGGAGGGGGAAGGAAGTTATCCTGATCAGAGACATTGTGAGCTCTGTTGCTGCTACTACAGCCAGAAGCCTTCATAAAGCTGCAGATGAAATTTGTGACTTCTCCCCAGTGCTATGTGGCATCTGGGTTGTCTTCCCGTGAAAGCCTGTATAATTCCCGGGGGTGTGGAAGGCAGCAGGCAACATGTCAGAAACACTTGTCTCATTTTTTGCACCTTCTCCATTTTGTTCCGCCCTGTTTTCAGTTTGAGGCAAAGGCTTCACCTTTCGTCACTTCCCCATGTGCCACAGCACCATTCACCAAAATGGCTTGTAACATGTAGTACCTAGTAATTCATGGCAGAGTCATTATCCACAAATGCCAGAAGCTGGTCTCTAGAGGAAGGGAAGGATGCTTTGCTCTTTCTGCATGGTCATGCCTGTTGTTCCCTTAGCATAGGTGAAACAACTTTCTGTTCTGAATGTGCCAATAAATGAAGAGTCTCTTGGGTTCAGGAATTTGACCTCAGAGGCTTTCTGCAAAGTATTGAATTTCAGGTTGAATTCCAGTCGCTATTCACAAGTTTAATGGCATTTCCTAACCTGAAGCTTCAGTTACAGTCTCCAGTCCAAAGTGAAAACCTCAGACCTCCTCAGAAACCCAGAACTTGGGGCACTTTGAGTCTGAAAATGTAAAGTTGGTTCCACTGCTTAAATCTACTGAAAGCAGAGGTTTCCCAAGAATGCTTCTTTCCAAACCGCTGCCCCAAAGGAAAATACCCCATCCTTGTCTTGTTGGCCATGCCTGGCCCATTAGCACTAGGCAGGTGGTGCCTGTGGAGATGCATTACCTGTGAGTGGGGACAATGTGGTGCCCTGCTCAGACTTGCCTTCCCTCCTCCCACCAGCACATGCCCAAGCCTGTTTTCTTCACAGACTTTCCCTTCTCCCTGTTCCCATCCTGCCCACCCCCAGTTTCTTCCTCTTACCCAGGTCCTGTCTCTGTTTGGGTTGAGCATCCTCAAGCCAAACACGCCGCTGACACGGACAGTGATTTTTGCTGTAACATGAGTCTACTGGAGTGTATAATGTATCTGTGGAGACATAGGAGAAATATTTACCAAGTTCATCACAGACTTAATGAGCCAGGATTCAGAGAGGTGGAATAGCAAACATCTCTCTTCTCTGGATGCTGCAAAGCAAAGCCAGAGCTCTGCAGAGGAACTTTCATTTCATTAAACAATTTTATTTTCAAGCCCCACTCAGCATTACTACAATCCTGCTGGCAGCATTTCCTAGTAGCTACTCTAAGAAGAAAGTCTTTAAACCCTGTTCCATAGTTAAAATTACTGCTGGACTGGCTACAACGCTGTGGCTTGGCAGTTAGGAAGCAATTTTACATATTCAGGTTCTGGTGGAACATTAACCGGTCCCCACATGCCAGATGCAGATGGTTCCTTTTCTAGGGATGAAGTTGAAAGCTAAATGTTATCCAAACTACCTCAGCAAGTTGGTGGTGAAGCATGCTGGAAAACAATAAGGACCTGGGGGCTCCGAATGCCAAGTTCTTTCCATTCAAGTTGTTTGAGCTGTCTCGTTCTTGTGTTTCATTATCACAGCAGCAGCACGACTGATTGCAGAGAAACCACTGCAGAAGCAGGTCAGACAGTGTGTCGGAAGGTTTTCCTTCTTGATCTGAGGGAGCATGGTCTTGGCTCTGGTTGCAGAAAAGTTGGGCATAGTGCAATTCTTGAGAATCTCCAGCTCAGTTTAAATCCTCCTCATTGTGGTGCTCTGGCGTGGCTGCAGCCACAGAAGAATATTACTGGCCTCCCCGTTGCACAGACAGCAGTTACAGAGAACTGGGAAGCAGGAAGGGCAGACCATGCTACAGATGAGTGTGTCCAAGAGCCGGGAGAGAGTGTTGTCAGCTGCAGTGAACGAGCAGAATGGACGTACAGAAGAGGCTCTGGCTTTTGACTGGGCAAAGTTTTAATCGGCATTTTTGATCATGTTTCCAATGCTGAAATCCAAGTTGGCTGGTAAAAAATGCCCACCCCTTTTTGGAACATGCACCCACATCCACTTCTCTCAAAGCAGTGCTTGGGTGGGATGGCACACACGTGGTGTGGCACTAATCAGTAATGTGGCCCCGGTGAGGTTCCTGTTTGGCGTTGTGTTTGCTTGTGCCCCCCAGGCATGGCTTGTTCCTAGCACACTCTCTGCTCATGTGCAGCTCTACCAACTGGCACACAAACTCTTTTCTGGGGTCTACTCAACAGGTTCCTTTTCTAGGATCTCACAGCAACAGGGAATAAATCCAGTGACTGCACCTGGGCAGTGGTTTCTATTGTGTCTTAGAAGAGCATTGCTTTTATGGGTCTCTGCCTTAAAGTACTTACAGTGTGAGTGACACTTAACCGAATCCATCTGTCACCCGAGGAGTCAGATCCCCCTAGCATGCAACCTTCTGATCGGCTGCCATCCTGCAATCTGACAACCTAACAGCCAGAAGCAACTTCATCCTCTTCCTTGTTAAATCTGAGCACTAGTACTTTGAACGTTCCCCTGTCTTTCCTTGAGTGCTTGTCATTTGGGAAGTCCTTAAAATGACCCTGTGCCACATAATTCAAGTGGAACTGCGATTTGAAGGTTAATGAAGCCATTTCACACATGGGATCTTCAAAATGAATATGATTAGACACATCTTTGCCTTGTGAACAGTCAGCAATGGGTGAACTTGTTTGAAGGCAACCGTTTCCCTCCAAACTCCCATGTACAGCCTTTAAGCACTGAAAACCCAGGTGCATCTCTGAACCTTGCTAGAGGTATTGCAGTGGCTCTGTTGTGGAGTAGGTGTAGTAAAGTGATAAGATATGTTGCCGGTGTCTGGAAACCAAGACTAGCAAGTGCTGAGCGCTGTGTGTTGGAGAGGGTATAGCAAACACCTTGCCCTGTTGCAGTCTGGCTCCAGGTAGCTAAGAGCTGAGGTGTCATGTCCAGCTCATCCCTCTAATTCCTTATGATGTTTTCAGTACTGTAGTCAGGCCATAATTTTCCCAAAATCCCATTAATTTCTGTGCTGAAACTGAAACCTGAGCATCAGGGGTTCTGACAGGGGAAAGCAAATGTCCACAGCCACTCATTTAGTTAGCTGGGCTCAGGCTGAGCAAGAGTCAAAGCAATATGGGAGCTCTTCTGGCACGTACCAAATAGCAGAGGTCCCAGTAGCTTGCAAAGCAAAGAGACTTGGGGTGACCCAAGGGTCTGCTGTGTGCCTTGTGTCAAGGAGACTTCTGCTGGGTGCTTTGGCCTGCAGGGTGGTGGTATCAGACAGGTCGACATGGGTAGATTCCCGTTCCATGCTGGGGAATTGTCCCCTTCTCAGGGAATGCCAGCTTCTGTGTGCTGTCAGTTGCTGCTGAGACACAAAGGTGCTGGGTTCAGTGCTAAGGAAAGAGTTGACTCACCAGCTTTAAATGGATAACTAACGGTTAACAGTGAACAAAATAATTAGGTTTTGTCTTTGGCTATGGAGATATCAGGACTTCAGTGCTTCCTTTTAGTTGCAGTGCTGGGAAAAAGGCACTGCAGCCCATCTCTTACCAGAGAAGTGCTGAATGGGGAAAAGCTGACAGCAAATATTTACTCTGAGATCAATTCTGTTTAAAGTGCAATGTTTGTAGCAGAGCTTGGAAACAGGAAGGTCAGGTGTGTAGGATCAAGGCTGCATTTATATAAAGACAGAGGAATATGCACTGGAAACCCTTGCTTAGAAAAGGAAAAGACCAGAGGATTTTGAAAGTCACGCTATGAGGATCTTTATTTTTGTCCTCACACTCAGTGTTTTCTCGTGTTCAGGTAAGTTGCTCAGAATGGAATCACATCCTCTTTCTTATGGTGGTTTAGGGAGGAAAAGTATAAGACCACACTGAACTTCTAATGGAACTGTGCCTCCATCTCAGGGTTTCCAGTGTACGACTATGAACTCCCTGTCACAGAAGAGGCTCTCAATGCTTCCATTGCAAGGATCAATTCTCAGTCATGGGGGACAAACCTGTACGGTGTTGTCAGGAGCCATGTCACAAGAGTAAGTGTGCAGATAACGGAGATCCTTTACCCGAAATATGCTTTGCTGTCATGGAAAATTCTTTTTCACCCAATCCTGGAGACCTAGCTGTAGTTGGAGTTTTCTGATGTTACTTGGAAGAGGGTGGTTTTGGGGCATTATCTGAAGCTATGGCTTTAGGAACCTAAATATTCTTTGTATGTCAGTTTGTAATTAAAAATACTTTAGGAGTTCAAATTTTGCACCCCTAGAATAGAAATCTTTGAGGGATGTCTTGTAAGATTTTCTTCAAAACGGGTGTTTTTAAATACCTCCAGGTAACTGCTTTGCTTTGGGCATAAAGTAAGCTGGTTCATCTGAAGGTCTCAGCTGAATGTCTGCACTGCTAATTAAATGCCACCACAAACACATTTAGGATTCTTTCTCCAATCTGTGTTTACATTATCTGTCACTACACACCAATTCTGGTTTAAATCTACTAGTGGAAACCCTTACCTGTTTTAATTTGTGTTGCTAGGAGTTATATTGGATACCCAGAGTTAAGGAGTTAAAGCTTCCTAAAGTTAGCATGTCCATGTTCCTGAACATCCTCAGAACCATTCTGTTTCTCTAGATGGCATGTATCAAGTCTTCTTCAAGAATGAATGACAAGATGACTTTTGGATTGATCTAGTTTGGGAAAAAAGAAAGTGCTTGAAAGCAGTGGGGATTTGTTGTTTGTTGGGGTTTTTTGGGGGGGGGAGTGGGTTTGGTTTTTTTTTTTTTTTGAGTCTCCCACCTTGAGCTAAAACATTGATTAGACTGTGAGAAGGAGAAAAGAAAATCCTAATGTGTCAACAAAAGGAACCAAACTCTAAAGCTTCCACTGTGACAATGCACACTGCCCACTGAGGCACCTGAGCTGACACGGAGTAACTCTATAAACTGCATTAATTCGATCGCTTGCAGTGGTGTGATTTACTTTCCAAGTAATGTACTTGCAATAGACTTCCCAGCAGTCTAGATATCCAGAGCAGAGCTGTTAGCAACCTGGTTCCCACAGAAGAGGGAGCAGCATGCAGGGGTGATGCTATGCTTGCCTACTTTTGACAGTTACACTCCCTGCAACTGACTGAGCAGTAGGAGGTTCCTGCAATGGGCTGTGGGGTTTGAAGTGAAACTCCCGTGGAAAGCTGTTCTGTGTTGCTGCTACCAAATCTGCCTAAGAGAATAACTCCTGAGCACAGTAAAATACCCTTTCTCGCACACAATAATCTGCTCTAAATTGGGCACTGAGCCACAATGCTCCTATGTCTTGCTTTTGCTTGACAGAGAAGCAAGGTTGCCATGTACTGGGCATAGAAGAATGACAGGCACTAATTAGCTGTTGTGTTGACCTTCCTTTTACCAGGTGGACATGTGGAACAGTGATGCTTATAGACTAGAGCTGCGGTTCAGTATTCGTGAAACTGTATGCACGAAAGCTTCAGGGAGAGACCCATCCACATGTGACTTCAAAATAGGGCCTTTCGTGGTAAGTGCATCTGGTGTGAATGTGAAACCCCTGCTCCATGCAGGATGTTCTCAGGACATGTTGAAACACTACTGGTGCTGAAGAATGAAGAATGAAGAATGACTGGCCTTCTGAAAACAAAACCAAACCCAAACACATACAACCTACAGTATGGAGCAGGTGTTAGATGGGAAAGGTCGCTGCTGGAAACTCTTCTGCCTGGTCAATGGGGAATTTGAACTGCTCTGAGCTGAAAAGAGAAGATGCGTCTTGGAACAGCAGGTAGTGACAGTGTCTGTGTGCTTTGGGACCAAATCCTGGAAGGAAGGTGTGGCTTCTTTTCTAACATAAGAGTGTGGAAAAACTGACATTTGACCTGCTTTTGTCTATCATGCATCTAGGCACCAGATGAAGGCTCATCTTCCTATGTAGTGTGGATTGCCACTCTGTACTGACAGTGCTAATCTTTCAGATTTACAACTCTCTTTTCAGCCTGAAATAAACATGGATCAGGCTCTTGATACAGCTCTTGCTGCGCTGTGATTCTTAGATGACCAGCTTTGGTGTAAATGCATCATGTTTGAATCTGGACTTCTCTGTGCACCGTTATTTTTGACAAAACATGGCTCCCTTTGCAAGCTTCTGAGTGGTTGTGTCCTAACTGCTTGGAGTAGATCTTGAGTCCCTGTGTGCAATGATGCCATACTGTGTGTCAGACTGCCACAGAGATTATCTCTGGTTCTTTGTGCTGCTCCAAGCTGAACTCTTCTTGAGTCTTTTTCCTCTATGAATGACTGCTAAACTTATCTGTCCTTCCTGGGAACAGGCTTTAGGGAAGGGGAGGGATTCTGGGAAGGCACTGAACAGATGGTGCAAAGGCTTTCCTCATAGGTTGTCATGCTACTACCTCAGGAGGTAGTTTACTCCATAAAGAGGTGGGTAAATGTGCCTTTGAGTATTGCTACACTTGAGCTAAGCAGCTTTTGTGTACGTGTAGATGGGACAACATGAAACTGATGGTGGTTGCTACGTTTTCTTTAAAGATGCAAGGGCTGGCTGCTGCAAAGTTATCACTGTATCGCAGACACCATCCCTCTTTTCTTCTTGGGGAAATACTGTATGAAAGGTACTATGAAGATCTCTGTTTTCCAAACTTGGGTGCAGGTTTTGCTGGAGCTTCTGTCAAATCGTAGAGACAACTTCTTTAAAGGTAGTTTTTCTAGAGATGGAGCTGCTATCAGCATAGCCCTGCACAGCTCTTCTGTTTGCACTTGGTCATGCCAGAGCCATGAAAAGGATTTGGAGATTTTCTCCTACCTCAAGCAGGATCAAGGCTTCATACAGCTAACATGCAGTTGCAGATCAATAACTTGTGTGTAGTCATATGCTGCCAGAATATATTCATCTGGCTGCAGTCTGCTCCAATAATTTGTTAGGTGTATAACCTTTCTTGAGTTTCTTCCTTTTGGAATTTGTTTTTAAAATCCCTGTACAGGTTCCCACCTCCAATGAAAATCCCATGAGCGGGTTTGTACTGTAGCTTTGCTCTACAAGATTTGCTCTATTTTGATCTGTTTCAGCCAACCACTTTCTGCAGAAGTGTTGTGGACATATCCGGTGAGCTGATCTCGAACATTATCGTGCAGTGCCATCGTGGCACATCCAGCTCTGAATCGATGAGCAGTGAGGAGGTAAGGAAGGGTGTCCTGGTTTCAGCTGGAATAGAGTTAATTTTCTTCCTAGTAGCAGGCATAGTGCTGTGTTTTGGATTCAGGATGAGAATAATGTTGAGAACACACTGATGTTTTTAGTTGTTGCTAAGTACTGCTTATGCTAGTCAGCTTCCCATGCTCTGCCAGGTGCACAAGAAACTGGGAGGGGGCACAGCCAGAATAGTTGATCCAAACTGACCAAAGGGCTATTCCATACCATATGGCATCATGCTCAGTATATAAACTGGGAGGAGTTGGCCAGGGGGCAGCAATAGCTTCTAGGGAACTGTCTGGGTATCGGTTGGTGGGTGGTGAGCAATT